AAAACAAGTTAGAACATGAAGAGATATATCAACTGAAAAGTAAAAAGAAGAGCATCACTACACTTGTATAGTTGCATAACAGAAGTTGATGTGTTTACACACAAAGCTTTGTTTGCAGATATTGAACTAACAGGAGAGCAATCCACTGCCTGTTCAAACACATAAAAGAAATTATATATTAGATGAACCAAACCAAAAAGAAAAGCAAGCTATGACATTTCTATAATCAAAATACTACCTGTTGCTCTTGATACATGCTTGACTCATTTAAGTTTCTTAGCTTCATTTCTATCACCGATTGTATCTTCTCAATAATAACCTCCTGGTTCAAAAGGCTCACCTGTATAAATTTATAAGCTCAAGTTTAGAGTAACTAAGGATGTATTCATCACATTCGGAAAACTCTAAGTATACAGACCTCATTCATTTTGTCTTTCATGCATTGGTCTGTTACACATTTTTAAAGTGGTAAAATTAAAAAATCACTTTGGATAAGTCAAGAAGAAATAATACAGAAATCATGTAAGAAACATCATTACCTCTCTCTTTCTGGGATGCACGTTAACATCAACATGCTCGGGAGGCAAGATAAGTGACATATATATGAAAGGTTTTGATGCTTTGGGTAAAGTTGCAACATAGATGATTTCAATTTCCCTCTTCAGAGCAGTACATTCGGCTAATCTTTCTGTGAAAAAGTGAGGAAAAGTTAGGTTATAATAAGAACCAAAATATCAGGAAGAATGTCAATAAATTTGCACAAGTCAAAATTCAGAAGTTCAAGGGTGTCAATTATCACTCAACCACACTAAAGAAATAAGTGCTAGGGCATATTCACTTTTTCTTTGTTTTTTGTTTTTGTTACTTGTGTGTGGTTTCTCAAATTTAGAGGGGAAGGGTTTTGATGGTTTCTCAAAGTTGTGTGATACATAACACATACCATTGATGAAGAGAACCATGGTAGTCTTCGTTGCAGAGTAACTAGAGTCGGATATAAAGCCATCCATTTCAAAAACTGAAGTAGATGGATTAGCATCTGAAGCTAGCCTCTATCTTTATCAGACTGAGAGCAACTGAGACTCCATACACATATATGATTGCATCCAGCCTTGTAGACATAGCAACTGAGTGAACATCGGTTGCACCAGCTCCATGCTTAGAATCAGATAGTAGATATGTACAAGACATTAAAACCAATATTAAAAAATGTATGCAGTATGCCTCCCAAAATTATGGAACAAAACAATTATTAGTTTCAGATGCGTGCAAAACAATTAGGTAAACTACTCACCTTTCTGCAGGAGAAGCTCACATTTTTATGATGAATGGCAAACCGACAAAGTAGGTCAACAATTTTTGGATACTAATCAGCAGAGTTCTGGAGAGTTTTCCTTCGTGCAATGATGTTATAAAATAAATTCTCAATCTGGTAAAAACACACACATCATCTAATCAAAAGGGGAGTAATGTCACATAATAACAGAGATTTAGTAAGATCAAAATTCACCTGTCAATGAAGCTCATTACCATGGAATTCTCATTTTTTCAATTACTAATCACATATGAATGCCAAGTCGCGGAAAATGGAATGAAGCCATTAGGGATGTCAGTTGGGTTGCTCTGCATTAGCAGATATAATTTATTAGAAAAAGGAATCGATTAGCAAATGATTAGAAAAAAAGATTGAAATAGATAACTGATTACCTACATTGGTGTTAGGGCTTGTGTTCCCCTTGCTCTTATGCATTTTATACTTGATATTCCTCCCAAATTAATACATGCGTGAAGATACTTTGAAGCAACATATCCATAGCGAACAGGCTGTGCAAAAATTAAAAAAAATAAAAATAAAAATAAAAAAAAACAGACTTGGTGAGCAAAAAAGATTATAAGCTCATGGAGATTTTAAGAATATCAGATTTGAGATTACCTTCTCACAGAATTTGTGTTCCCCCTAACCGGGTTCGTTCAGGTGGAATCTTTCAAGAATATCATAATTGTGGATTCGCCATTGGAGCAATCGAAGTGAACATACACATGTTTTATGAAAAACCCTAAGTCGTTGGTGTCTGGAAAAAGACTAGTCGATACCTTGTACCAAAAAACCCTAAATCGTTATGAGAGAGGAATGATGCCTGAATCGCTTCGTTGAGAATCACCGAGAATAACACCGATAAAAACCCTAAATCTTCGAGGAGTTACAGTCTCTATAACATCCGCCGCACACAATAACAGATTCATGAAAGACGGATTCTGTATGTTGATCAGTGTGGCATCAGATGGCAAGACGGTGGTTCTCATGGAGAAATTTTATTTTGAGAACATGTTGAAGGCAGTGGAGATGGTATCGTCGTCGTGCCGGCCTGAAGAGTCGGGGGTGGGTGAGGGGCGAAGACGATGGAGACATATATTAGAGAACAGATCGAAACGAATGTAGAAGAAGAAAGCGGTGTTTAAAATTTTTGGGGATTTCATTTTCCCTCTAGGAGGAGAAGAGAGACGCGCGTTTCTAAAAAAATATAAAACGACATTCATAGAAGACGCTCATTTTAGATAAAGTGCCCTCTGTGTTTTTAATTTTTTTACATTAGACACTAATTTAAGGGCACGCAATAATGCGTGACCTAAATCCTTAAATTTTTTGAAAGATAATACGTTTTTAATGTCACTCTCTTTTGCGTAACATAAATCACTGAGTGTCGTGGTTTGCGCGTCGTAAAAGGTTCTTTTTCTTGTACCTATTATAGTTTATTAAAATGTTTGAAATGTATATGTACCCTAACTATACCTATTATAGTTTAGTATGTTTCTTTGTGGTGTTTAAGAATCCCATTCTATGTAAGTCAAATGTATAGTACAATATAGCTATGTTTAACTTGCTTTGTTTTGTACTAATGATTATGATGGAGTGTTGGGCTTTATAGATTGCGTCTTTTGGGCTCGTCTAATTATGCTATTTTGTATTCCGGTTTGGGCCTGTCCAACCGTGAGTCTTTTATGTTATGTATATAATCTAATGCTTGCATGCATATTAGGTTAAGGTTTTAGAGATCTGAGTATACGATTTTTCCAGACGACAAAAGGTTTCTTTGATCGTTCTTGTAACCTTCCAATCCTCTACAGTTGATGTTCTTAATCGAGCTCTTCTGAGGATTTTATTTTAATCATTCGACTCGTTTGATTCAATCTTGTTCTGTTCTTTTATTTGTGTTCATATCGTCATTATTTACATACTTGTTCAAGATCTAATCGATCTTCATAGATTAAAAGAAAGCTTAATCTCATCAATTGGTATCAGAGCAGGAGGCTGTGTAATTGATACACATCTTTTCTGTGAAAAAGATTTCCATTAGGGTTTTTCCGCAATCATTAATATTTATTGAGCCGTCATCTCTTTATTGACGTATCTCGATATTTATTACTTTGCCCTAATCTGCTTTATTACAAGTCTGATCTTTGAACAGGTTTTTTCGATCATAATGGACGCGACACAATCAAACGTTATTAATATTTCCAACAGCATTGGTTCGACGACAAAGATTCCGATCTTATACACCCACGATTATGAAGTATGGGCACATCATTTCGAAGACTATGTTATTGGATCTGAGGAAAATGGGTATTTGATTTGGGAAGCCATCACCAATGGACCGTTTTCTCATTCTGCAACGTCCAGAATCATCAAGACTCAAAAAGAATACAATGATCTGTTAAAGGACGTGAAAGATATTGCTCAAGATGAAAAGGATAAGTTCCAATGCAATATCAAGGCATTAAGATTGATCCGGTTCGCCCTTCAGTCCGATACATTCAGATTGGTTAGTTCATGCACAACGGCAAAGGATGTTTGGGATAGACTTCGCGAACTGTATTCTACAGACGAAGATCTTGAACATTCTATTCAAACTCTACTTCTATCTGAGTTTGGAGAATTCAGACAAGGGGCTGAAGAATCTGTGACCCAGACGTTCGATCGCTTCAATCATCTTCTCAGCAAGATGATAAACACGATATTGAAAGGAAGCTCATCGAACAGAAGGTTACATTCCTGAATGGTCTGAGGTCTGAATGGAGAGCAGTGTTTCCACGGTTAAAGCCCATGAGCAATTTAAATCATACTCTCTGGCGAAACTGGTGGGAATTCTCAAGTCTCAAGAGAAAATCGTGGTGCAAGAAAAGAACGTCTTCCGGTCTTGGTTCGTTGGCCTCTTGTCAAAAAGTAAAGCTGTTATGGAGGATGAAGACCTCAGCCTGGAAGAATATGATCTCACATCAGAAGATTATGCCTTGATGGTGTCCAATCCCAAAAGTTCATAAAGAAGAGATTCCCCAGCAACAAAAACCGAAACTGGCAGGGGAGTTACAGCTCTGAAAAGGTGGTTAATGAACCGAAAGCTGAGGAGCACAAGAAGGAACCGAAGGTTGACGGCGACTCTGGAGTGAGCTGTTTCTACTGTGGTGGGAAAAATCATTATGCTAAGGACTGTGTCCTTAAGAAAATGGCTGAAAAAGATGATGGGAATGATGAGGAAGCGTGTTGCAGAAAAGATTGGATGAGTTGAGAAAGAAGAAGTCTGCTGCTAACCGCCTATTAATGCTCTTATTGTGCAGGGTTCTGTTCTAGGTGATGAGTTCGGTAGCACGGAAGTTTGGTCTACCGACTCAGAAGACGAGGAAGTGAGGCAGCCTACTCATGGAAAGGCGTTCGTGTCTAAGAAGAAGCAGTGGTGGAAAATGCCTCATGGTTTCTGACGTATCTCAAATGAGGGGATACAACACCGATGGAGGCTGTGATGGACAGAAAGAAGGAGGACATGTGCTTTACAGCCAAACCGCTCAGCCAGCAGTTCAATGAGCTGATGAACTGATAAAGAAGGTACAATCTGTTTTTATTTCATGCAAAGTACCATCATCTCTTATGAGAAAGAACTAAAAAATGTCAATACAAGAATATCTCATCTAGATAGTAGCTTAACTCAAACTCGGGTCACAAATTCTAACCTAACTGATCAATTGAGCAGGGCGACGTCGAAGAGTGAGGAGCGGAGAATGTGGATAGAGTTAAAGGAGTCAGAATTAGTCAAAGTTAAAGATGAAAACATTTATTTGCAAAGAGACAATTTGAAATTGTTAAAACAACGAAATGTTTTTTGTTTAATTGCTAAACGTTTGTACTCTAATATTACTCAGCTTCACTTGGATTGTGAAATAGGCCAAAGGATTCACCGCATGATTTTGCCCTTCCTAGAGTTTAAGGAAGATGAAATCGATGCTGAAGCTTATAATTGTGAAAGTGATATCGTCTGATGATATTAATCCACCTACATGTATGGACTGGACAAAATTGAGTCCTTCATTAAATCCAAAGACCACAAGCTCATGCTTAAAAATCTTTTGGATGAAAATGACAGACTTAAACTGAGAACCGAAACCATGCAAAAATTTGACTCTTTAAACCAACGTAAGCTCAGAAAACAAAATTGACGTTGAAAATGCATCTGAGCTTAACGAGGACGATAACATGAGTGAAATTTCTGTAGAGGACACGGTTGACTGCTCAGAATTTATTAAAACCGAGCCAGAAAATCACAAGAATCTAATTTCTGAAAATTCAGTGGAGTTCGCTCGGTTGTCCCATCAAAAGTCCCCAAAATTAGTTGAGAAAGCAGTTGTGTATCAAAAGGTAAGGACCACTCCAAATCAAGTTTACAAGGTGACAGGAGTAACCGAACATCAAACAGCTGAACTTGTAGCCATTGTAAACGAAGACAATGCTGATGGCTGTGATGAGTACTTCTGGGAAGCTCCAATTGATAATGCAGACGAAACCATTGGTTTATCTGAAAGAACTTCCTGGAAGAGCAAAGGAAGATACATACCTGAGCCCTTGAATAAACCGAACAACTTCGATGAGCCGAGCACCAGTGGTAAAAAATATTCCTCAGAAGAATGATCACTCGGCAAAAGCAGACATTCTCTCGGCTCCTTCGGCTCAAAGTAAAACTCC